AGTCCAGATTACGGGGTCTTCTATGTCTTCGTTGAAGCCAGACATAGTGAGGTCTTCGAGCCGTTTTGCTTTGAAGGCGGTTGACAGAATCTTGTTCCAGGTCTCGACGTTCTCGAGTTCTTTTTCAGGCGAGATGAATTGTTCTTTTTCTTCTACCGGCGAGTTGAAAGGGGTGCCGGTGTATTTATATCCATCGATCAAGGTGCGATCGAGTTTGATTTTCTTCTTGTCGAGTCGATTGTTGATGAATTTTTCTAGATTCATGTAGTATAGCTCGTTGACACCATCTGGATCGTGAGCTGGTAGGGTTTCAACCTCTGGTCCGATGTCTTCTCTAGGGCGCTTGCCGGGGCCACTGGGCAGCTCGTGAGGTTCTAAGTTGAAGTACTCAATGCCTTTCGAGGTAGTTGGTGGGCTATCTTCACAGCCGTAAGCGTAGCAAGCTCCGCAACAACGTACAGTGTTTTCGGAGGCCTTCTTGAAGAGTTTTTCTACGGCGTCTCGTTCCTTTTGAAGGTCAAGGAAATCTTCTGGCTCCATATCTCTTAGAGCGTCTAGGTAGTGGCGTTGATATTCGGCCAGGGCTTCTCTTCCGTCTTCACAGGGTCCGTCAAGGCTCTCTGAGGATTCTCGCGAGGCCTGAAAGGTTTGACCATTGGCGTCGTGGAATGGGGTGATGAAGGCCGCTAATTCCTGTAGTTCGTGGTCCTGGAAGGGTGCCACAAACTCAGGCTCTCTGATGGCCTGGACGAGGTCAAGTAGAAGGAGGTTGGGTTTCCTACGGTCGCCTCGAGAGTTGCCGTTCCGAGGGTTCTTATGGGAAGATTTCTCAGTACAGTTGCGGGAGAAGTGTCCGGTCTTGTGACACTTGTAGCACTCGACCTTGCTTAGGTCGGCCATGTCTAGGTCCATGGGCACGGCGGAGTTTGTGCTCATAGGGGGTTTACCGAATGGGATAGATGGGCGTCGGTTATGGAAGTTGTTGTATGGTTTTTGAAAGTTGAATTTGCGGTCTGATGTGAACTTTCGGTCGTTGGGTTGGATCTTGCGTTGGTTGATCCGCATGTTCCTTTCACTTTCGCGGGCCGCGGCGTACAGGATTTCCATGTCCTTGTCCTTCTTGTATTCAGTTTTGTTGATGTCTTGTCTATGAGAGGCAGGGATCTTATCGAGAAATAAATAAGACTTTTCGAAGAAGGGGAGGTCTTTGTCTGGTATTTGACAGATGAGTTTCCGGAATCGCAGGATGTATTTGCCGACATCGCCTTTGTAAAAACATAACTTGAGTTTTTCTCGAACTTCTTCTTTGAGCATTCCACAGCTGTACTTGGCGAGGAACTGATTGCGGAAGTCATGGTAGTCGGTGCAGGTTCCACCGTTGGCGGTGTCTCGGACTTGGTGCCAAAACATCCGGCTTTCCTCGTCGAGGTAGTTACCGATCATCTCACCCCAGTCAGCCTCAGGGTAGCGATGGGTTCTGAAATTGGATTCTAGTTCCGAGATCCATAATTCAGCATTATCGCCGAAGCCGCCGAACTTACGTGGCTCCGCGCGAAATGCGTCAGTTTTCAGGGGAGCTGGTTGAGTGCTGCGGGTATGTTGGGTTTGTTCAAGCTGGTAGATGTGATTTTGTGCGCTGGCTAGTTCCTGGTGGGTTTGTTGGTTTTGGTTACAGAGTTCGGCAATTGCTTGTGCTTGGACTTGAGCATCCGTGTTGTTTTGCTGTAGCTGAGCCTTTATGAGTCTGAGGTCTTCAGCTGGGATTTGGACAAATCCATTATGCTCTTCCATTATGGAGGGTGTTTTCTGTGCGTCGAAAAGATAATGGAAGGGTTACTATAAGATATACTGGGTAGGACTTGATCAGAGTCTTTAAGGGTACGTACGGGTACTTTTATTTTCTTCAACAAGAAAAAGGATAGAACTTAGTCTATAACGATTAAAGCTTAGGATACGCTGTTGTTTTCTGTGTGCAATAGAGTAAGGGATCGTCTATCAGGAGGTCTAACTAATCGAAAGAAATGTTGTGAAGGGTATGGATAACTAGCTAGGGAATCCGGTGAACTTACGACGGGATCTATGGGGGTCTTGGGTGCTTCTGTAGGTTTATCTTTCCGGTATGGGATCTAGGAAATAGGGAGGTTACAGAGGTAAACAAAGAGGGATAGATCAACAATTTTTTTTTTTCGATATCAAGGTACGTGTTGATTGAAAGTTAGAAGATAAAAAAGAAATACACACAAATAATTATTTGTGATTCCTATCACAACTTGGTACGGTAAGTGTGCAGGAGAAGTAACTTGGGGATTCATTCCAAGGGGGAGAGAGGAGGGCTTTATATAGTCCTCCATCTCTCTACAAGTACGAATATGGCAATGTGTGGTACAACGAAAGACGACAGGGATGTCGTCTTGATACAAGCAGATATGAGTTATGGAAGACCGAATCCGGTACTGCTGGATTCGGTTTACAAGTAGTATGATGTGTCTGATCGGGACGGATCTGGATAGAGCCTGTCCGATGGAAAGCATTATAAAAGAAATAAAAGAAATGGAAAGCATACAAAAGTAGTGGAAAGCGCGTCGATGGTTTCGAAAGCGCGTACAACGATAACAAAGGGGAATGCCGAAATTGGGAATAACACAAGAGAAAGACGGAGATGACTTATGGAATAAGTCATAGGAGAAAAGCAAATAGCAAGACTAATGGAGGATTAGTCATGAACTGCTACGAGAGGAGAAATGGAGGTCATACCCATGAGTACGTTCGCCTATAAATAAGGCCGTGTTCAACACTTTGTATATAGTTTAGTTCCCTATCTTATTATCATCGTATAACCGTTATAAATACATATAAACCCTCATCGCTTCAATAAGGCAGGACAGTTCTACAGCTATAGTGTTTCAAGCACAACAATCCTATGAGAGCTTTGAGTAAAACCAAAGATTCCAGATGGAATATATAGTAATAAGAATCAACTAGTCGGTTGGTCGAAGTGGCGAGCGTAATGAGGACAAGCCAGGCAGGCGAACCGAACTAAGAGAACCAGCACGATCCCGAGGTTGAGAGCGTTGAGCCGAAAGAGATTTCTTGACAGGAAGACGATATAACAAGACCGGGTTGGCTGTCGAAGTGAGGTATGCTAAAGCTGAAGCCAAAAGTTTTCGATTTTGAGCTTCTCCGATGTGATCTACCTACAAGTCAAGTCAGTAGAAGTAATAAGGATTGATGATCTTATTTACGTCAATGTGCACTGATTACGATCCAAGTCACTGCAGAAATAAAATAAGCGGTACAATGCATGATAAGAGAAAGAACAGATCAGGATTTGAACCGTTAGGATTGTGTTATCTTGTTGGAGCGAGATCATCTCACTGCCTTCAAAAGTTGTTGTGTGAACAACTTCACACAGCCAACACTCGGGCAGGAGCGGAACGGCATCCTTACCGTTTCACATTGTTCCGGGATGTGAAACGATATGAGCTGCGACGTAAATCACCGTCTCGGTCACGATCCTCATCCCGTTTTGACATCTGGATTGTTCCTGAGACGGAGGTGGGGACCGGTCAAAGTACGTGTGTTTGTCACACGTGGTTCAACCGGTGTCAGGCAAGCTCCAGTCACTCTTCTCAAAAAATTTGTGACTGGAACCGCTTGATAAGCGTCATCGCATCGGTATTTCTGGACACCTATCCAGAACCATCGGAGGCCGAGGAAGTTTACCCCCTGGTGTACCCTATGAGTGTGTGTGATGGCTCACCTGTTCATCAGGCAAGCCTTCTTACCTGGTTATAGTTTGAGTCACGTCACCTGTTCATCAAGTGAGCAGGCACCTAATGAACAGGTGAGCCATCACCTTGTGGCCACAAGGTCATCTCAGGTGATGGTCACGCTGGCTTCCATGTGTAGCCAGTAGATGTGGCATCGTGTAAACAGCCCGGGATTTGTTGGCAGAGTCAGATTTCACCTGATCATCATGTGCCAGCTGCCCCGTGGTGTAGGTATGGCGCACTTCGCAACCACGGACTATCTATTTCTGATGAGAGCAGTGGCAAAATGAGATTTCATTGGAAGAGAATTCTATAATTAGGAAAGAGATAGACAAATTGCCCATGGGGCTAGCTCGCTTGCGAGTACATAAGTAGAGTTTTACACTCTTTGTAGCTGATATTTTTATTCAAATAAGACACAAGACATCTGAGGAAGCAGGATAACCGCGCTAGTTCGTTTCCGGTGCTTTCACAAGCCCAGCGATGAAGTTGTTCTTTCAGAGGATGGTGATCGACCAGAAGAGCATCGTCATCTCCCCGACTCCTAGTAAATGAGTCACCTTTTCGGGAGGGCCCAGATAAACCTCAATTCTTGCCTGCGTCGAGTCGTAAATTTGTTCCCACATGGCTTTCCACGACTGATTGAATTGCATCGACATCAAAAAGAACAAAGGAAGGAAAGAAATCAGACGCGTTGTCATCAGATTGTTATAGATATAAGGCTGACCTCAGGTGAATGCGTGAACATTCCTCGCTCGCCCGTGCTAAAAGATGAAGAAGATGCAGGTTATGATCAAAACATCATCATTATGAAACCTGGGAGGTTGACTTGGTGATTGACTTACTGCTCGATCACACATCTGTTTCCTGAACCAACATGACTTCCAAATATCACACTTCCACTTTGATTTTGATCCAAGAGAGACGCAAGTCGTTTTGCCAATTCAAATTGTTGTTCTTCATCGAATAAATGAAACACGGAATTACAAGTGATAAACCGTACGCGACCGGTTAATTCACTCAAAGATTTGATGGCAAATAAATCGATAGGTAACTCTCTTTTCTTGGAAAGGTTCGGCTCAAGGAAATCTGAATCAAAGATATTCCCTTTAACGAAAGGAACCCCATTTTGTTCGTAGAATAACTTGTCACCAAGCCTTGCCCAATCTGCGCGGAAGAGTAAGATTGTCAATTTTAAGGCTTGACTTTAGACGACTGGAACGATATTCCTCAGCTCAGCTCACCATCAATCAAGTCAGTTCCGATCACATTATCCCTTTTCATTCCACTGTACACCGCCTGTCGAAGATCGATGCCGACTGTGGGTCAATGAGGAGACCGCACCAGATTGGTCAGCGAGTCAGTGATTATGGCAACGTTGAGACACAATTTTTCTCATCATCGATGTATATCGTACTCACTGAAGGAGCCAACATCTAGGAAGATTGGTTGTCGGCCCTGATCCGAATCGCGTAGAGACTGCTCCAAAACTTGCTGATAGACCGGATGTGTCAGGACTCGAGTGTAACAAAAATACAAGGCTATAAATCGAAACAAGCTTTTTAGCGATATGGTGAAGAAAGTTGATAAACTCATAGATAAAGAAAACGCAACGCACCCCAGATGCACGGATAAGGGAAAACAGCGTATGCCTCCTTGGCAATAGAAATGATATGATTACGCAATCTTCTCTTGTCAGTGATACCAGTGGCGTGTTGAAAAAACTGAAGTTGACCATAGTGCTCAGGTTGATCGAGGAGATAATTATCCTCAAGTTGACCAATCATATGCAACTTGTTCACCGACATCACGTCCGCTCCTTTTTCTACAGCCTTTTGCTCCATTCTGTGATCGCGTCTTGTGTTTATTACAGCCATCTTTGGTGAAGAATTGATGGCAAAGCTGAAAACGGTTCGGATGTTGAGATCTTGTAAAACAATTGTGGGTGATCACGAATTCCAATGAAGCTTGTGTTTAAGAAGAACAGAAACAAAAAGGGTTTGATAGTGGGTATGAAGTATGCTCGAGACACTTTATGCGAAAAAAATGAGTGCTTAGGTGTGCTTTGAAGATTTTATTTTTTTCGCAACAAAGGTAGATTAGGATTCAACTGATCCGATCTGAAGCCTCTTCTTTAATTTGTGCTTAGCAATCTTTTTGGACGTGTGATATTCGCAGTCTATGAAGTGACCTTGATGACAGCTCTGGTGAGATAAACTCAAGTCTGATAAAGTTGTTTTTGTATTTGCGCTAGCGTGCAGAAAACTGAGCATGAACCCATTCTGATCTCACCTCACTCACCTCTGATCTTTTACAGAATGTGCAAGAAGTCTCATTGATTACAATCCTGTATGAATGGGCAAATCAATCACCCAAGAAGGACGTGAGATGCGGAGACTGCCGGAGAGCGACTCCTGTGATATGTACCAGATCAGCATCTACATCAGCATCTTAGATCTAGCGTGCGCCGGATGGCGAAGCGGAACAAAACAAAGCTTTGCCCAGGTTGCACCAGGCTCTGTTACCCTGTGACTCCTTTTACTATACCGCTACCTTGCCCTTTGCTGAGCAGGTACACCTCGCAAGAGAGGATAAGTGAACTCGTACACACACACCCATTATGGAAAACCGATGGTTGCCACATATCTGAGCAGACTATGTTGACGACATCTGGAGTCAGAGGGTTCAAGATCGGTCGATGTCCCTGTATGTACATATCCTCCACCCGCAGAACAAACCCACGCGATGATTGGGCCAGATGAGACGGCTTGAAGTTGAAGACTAACGTTTCCCTCCCCTTACAAACTTGAATGCAGCCCACCACTTCACTTGAAACCAGATTTCTGAATGCAGCAGTGTTCAATACATCATCAATGTACTCTATTACCTTTGCAAGAAAGGTTGACCGCCTGAGAAGTCTACAGGACCAGATTTGCTGCACAGTGCCGCCGTAGCAAGCTGTGAAACCTCACTTCCACCACCAACCGTTGGATTCCTCGCCAGTCCCCATTCCTGATCAAACCTGCCCTTACCGCCATTCCCTCAATCCTCGCACAGCCTCACATCCATCGGTCCAGCTTGATCCCATCTTTGATCATCCATTCTCTTAGATCTGGACAATTACTGTGAGTTTTGAACATTTCTTCTTCTTCTTGAGTACAATCTCACAGTAACCTTTGGTTTTCTTTCAACTGTCTCAGCTTCGATTCAAACCTAGAAAATCAAAACTTCAACTTGCAGAAGAAGAAGGAATCGATTTCAATAAACCGGATTTACCTTTTTGTTTAGATGGACTTCAATCCGAGTACTTAAATAAAGAAAATGAATCCAGCTCTGTAGATCTTGATTGAAGTAAATTGGTAGTTGAAGATGATGATGTTGAAACTGGTTTAAATCAAATTGCTGAATGTAAATCTGATTGACGAAGAAACAAAGCTTAGTTTTAAGTAATGGCAACCTAAAGCAAACTCAACTCTGCGTCAAAATTCACAAAAACATTTTTTTCAACCGATTGATCTTTCATTTACTTCTTTCCTTACTTTCCTAGTTAGATGTGTTCTCTATGATTTCTCTTTGACTTTTTGAAAAATCACATGGCAATTGAAATGTAAGATGTAATATCTATTAAATTCATCCTGTATAATCCTAAGTGATACCTTTGCAAAGATCACAATTTTCTTGCAACTTTTCTTCATGATTTATTATATCATGTTGGGTTAAATCATATTTTCATTTGAATTCAATTGAGATCTCTATTACCAAGAACATGCAATATTGGATTGCACAGGGATCTGATGATTTTGAACACAATAACTTCTCATTTTCCATTTAATTGAAAACTATAATCTATGAAATCTATAAAAAGAACAAAAAAATCATTTTGATACATCTACTTGCACTCAAAGACAATGTTATAACAGTTCAATCAGTAAAATTCTAGAGCTGTTTAAGTTTTTTTGAACAAAGTCAAAGAGAAAAACTATCCCTGCTGCTGTTCTGACAAATTAATTGAAATCGGAAATCATCTACCCAATGTTTGAAGAGATTCTTACCTCCTGGATCATTATATCGTATCTAAGAAGAGAGGGTTGAATCAAAGGCGTAGAGGCTCGGATTGAAGCTGAGACAGTTGAAAGAAAACCAAAGGTTACTGTGAGATTGTACTCAAGAAGAAGAAGAGATGTTCAAAACTCACAGTAATTGTCCAGATCTAAGAGAATGGATGATCAAAGATGGGATCAAGCTGGACCGATGGATGTGAGGCTGTGCAAGGATTGAGGGAATGGCGGTAAGGGCAGGTTTGATCAGGAATGGGGACTGGCGAGGAATCCAACGGTTGGTGGTGGAAGTGAGGTTTCACAGCTTGCTACGGCGGCACTGTGCAGCAAATCTGGTCCTGTAGACTTCTCGAGCGGTCAACCTTTCTCGCAAAGGTACAGCCGTTCCAAGAATCATTGGCAGATTTTGGGCAAAAGCCTGTAATTTTGGCAAAAACTCAGAAGGCCAAAACCCCAGTTAAAATTGATTTTTTCCCCAAAATGTAGTTTCCCCGACGAGCAAATCTCTCTAAAGCTACCATGCAAGTGCCTCAAGGCCGTCCAAGACCTCTAATGTACATTTGACAACCCTTGACAAAGCTTCTCACACTGCATTTGTCTTGTATTCAATTCACCTCACATGTGTGGCTCCAGGGCTTGAGCGTACACACCATCCCAACATCCGACCACGATTGATCAAACCCTTCTCTGACTTCCTTACAAATCACTATCTCTTTCCAGTACCTTGATCACTCAACACGATTGGTTCAGCAGGACGGAATCCTCTAAAGGTAGGATTATCAAGACTATTATGGATTGTTTTCAGCCAAAACTGACATCATTGGTTGACTTCTCATGCGGATGTTTTTTTGCAAGACTGAATCCTTCCGCATCAGGTCAAATAAAAGTTGACATGAATGATGAGATACTGACATTTCTTTTCATATCAAAGATTCTTTCTGAAGAACTCCTTCCTTCCAAAGCCAAGTAAGTCCCCAACGGAGGATTCTGTTCATGATCAAGAAGACCCAAATCAATCAACCCAAACGACAATCATGAGCTCATTTGATGTTACTGACGTTTCTTTTCATATCGAAGATTCCTTCTGAAGAACTCCTGCCTTCAACCCCAAGTACGTACCCCCTTCAACGGACAATTCTGTTCAAGATCAAGAAGACCCCAAATCAATCATCCAAAACAACATCAATGAGCTTTGTTTAGATTTTGATGAATGATACTGACGTTTCTGTTCATATCAAAGATTCTATCTGAAGAACTCCTTACTTCCAACCCAAGTAAGTCCCACCTTCAGTACCGAAGATTTTCTTCAAGAAGACCCCAAATAAATCAACTGATATTGCTTCCGTCTAGCTCTAGCGGATACGAACATCTTGAACTTCACACCAACAAAAGAGGAACCTCGTGCGCATACCGGTCACCTCATTTCACTACAAAAGTAATGTATTTTGCCAAGGTGACAAATGATTGACATCAATGCACAAAATGACTCATAATGCAGAATTAATGCACAAAATGATTAATAATGCAGAATTAATGCAGAAAAATGCAGAATTAATGCAGAATTAATGCATTTTTAATCATTTTGTGAAATAAATGTAATCATTTTTCACCTCGGAAAGATACATTATATTTGCAGTGTTTTTCAATTCAACAGCTATAAAAGCACTCTCATCTCTTGCAAGTGCTGCCTTTCCCCATCAGTTTTTTGTTCTTTGCATACATACACAGTCTGAAACACCACTTTGAGTCAAACTCTTTCTGACCTATCTTCCATTAACTGCTCTAGCAAATAACCTTCGTGATTTTAAAGAAAAGTGTGTTGCCTTCTTATTCCTGATTGATTTGTTGCTTTCACTAATTGGAATTTTATGATGCATATTGATCTCTTTATATTTGATTTATATTTGATTGCTTTATATAGACCAGCCATGTCCAACTCAAACGTTTCAAACTCCAGCGTGTCTGCTGTGTCCTCCCATAATGAGGTTCTCTCGGCCAATGTGGTTGCTGAAGAGGCCACTCCACAACACAGTTTGAATGATGCAGGTATGTTACTATTTCGCTGTTATATTTGCTGTTATAGCTCATACTGATGAAAACTGACTACTATCTGCCTGGCAGTTTTTGAGCCGTCTACTGCTGTCACCACCACTGCCGCTGCCCCAGGTGGGATCAATGAACATCAGTTTCCATGATTTTGATGTTGCTTTGTATCCCCGATTTGACTACTGACTGTTATTTGCGTTTTTTTCAGCCATTATTGCTACCACCGCTCTTGCTACAAGAAACATAACATTTTCTGGGCAGAAAATTAAATTATTTGTATACAAAAATCTGGAAAGGTCAAAAGAGAGCAAAAAATATGAAAAAATATGCATCCTGTTCCTTGGTATGAGATCTCCAATCAGCATATTTTTCCGTATTTTTTGGGTTCATATTGGTGAGTGTACTAACAATAAACCCCCATAATCATCAGATTACCACCTGTAACAGATGCTGGAATTTGGCTGATCAGTGCTGAGAGAAAATTTTGATTACTACAAAACCCCATAACTTGGTGAATTATGGCTCAGAACACTCGATTTTGAGTTCATCGGAAAGCTGGTATTTGCCTGCAGATAGTTCATAAATGAAGCAAATACGTGGCAGGCCTGCAAAGAAAGATATCCGCAATGGAATCAAATTTCACATATCATCCAATAGAATGTCAGTCATTGGGATTACACATTTTGTGTCACAATGAAAGTTGTAGTTCAGGAATTCAGCTTTCAGATGCACTTAAAATCGAGTGTTTTGAGCCCAGCAAGTTGCTCAAGTAGGCCTTTGAAGTCTGGGTGTCCGTTTGCCAATGGGGGCTCGAGCAAAGTTGTGATATAATCTTTGCTTGCTCAGAGCCGTTTTGTCTAATTTCAATGTGTCACAGCGTAGTCAGTATCAAGAAATCAAGAAATAATAGAGAAATACAATTTAGTTTTTACCTGTGAAAACTAAACACCAAGGGTTGATATTATGGACATCGGCAATGTAGGCCCCTTGCGCCTCAGGAGATTGATTTGGATTCACAGTTCAAGCCATCTTTTGAGTCCAGAGAAGGCGGTCTCAGAGTTCAGTTGAAAGGGTTTGGATTGAGACTTGAACACCATGAGCTTCCTGAATCCTTTCCTGAAGCTCGTCGAGGTACAGAGTTGGATCATGGCGGAGGGATTCCAGGACAAATTCGCGTTGCGCGGGGCCTAACAAAGTTGGAGCGCCGCGTTCCATATGGTCCAGAGGATTCGTTATCACTGCACAAGTGGTTTGGTAGAGATCAAACCATTGCCGGACCGATGTGAGTGAGACATCAACTCCAAGGGTCCGGACTATGTCTTGGAATCGCATTCCCCTTAACACCATTTGAACCACGACCACATTGATATCGGCACTGTAAAGGTTTACCGGCATTGCTAAAAGGGAATAAGGCAAGGAATAGAACAAGCCAGTATTAAAGAAAAAGTAAGTCATGATACTCTTAGAAATAAACTGACTGGATTGTGAATGAACGGTTGGGTTTGGGTGGAGAGTGGTATTGATGCCATGGATAGAATCTGGACGGATGGTGGTGGAGGAGATCAAAAATGGGAAATGGGCGTAAACAGAGGAAAATGGGGGCAGGGCATTTGATCAGAAAATGAAAAAAAAATCCGTTTTGAGAAGGTTCTTTGGGAGAAATGACTGGCGACCTTGGGATGGAACACTATGGATATCCAGAGAGAACTGCCAATTGAATTTGACATTAGGGATTGGGTGAAGTGAAGTTTCGTAAAATTGTATTTTAGAGTATATTCACGTATCTTCAATTCAATAGAACTGGACAGCTACTCCCAAATTAATCCAAAGGGAGAATTTTCAATACAATCAAAGCAGACAACCATCCACAAGTCCTGTAACTCCACATTATTTTTTTGCTTTTGATTTGATCTAAAATTTGTGGTTGTGTGTTCCACTAACCCGTCCTAAATACATGTGATATTCTTTGATCTGACATATTTTCAGGGCAACTCCATACGAAAGCCTTATCCGTTTATAGATATTTGCGGTGGATCTGCCAGGCCCTTTGTGGAAGTTGCAGTCAAATTGAGTTTTACAAAATTTCACCTCGCCCAATCCCTATTCTCTCACAAAATACATCCAAACTACATTTTCCAAAAAAGATTTTGCCTGGGGTTTTGGCCTTCTGAGTTTTTGCCAAAATTACAGGCTTTTGCCCAAAATCTGCCAATGATTCTTGGAATGGCTGTAATACTTGGTATTTGGATTGCAAGTGAGATGTGATTGATTAGCTTCACAAAGCCCTCTGGAAACTTGTTCAAGTTATTTTTCTACATAACCTCATAGCCTAACATGATAGCCACTCTGAGTAATGAACAAAATAGTGATGTGGAGACTCTTACAGCATGCCTGCATTGTCATCTTTTCATGTTCAAAAGTTGTGTACGGTGTGTGAACACGCTGTGCGTCCCTTTGCCAATGGGAGTGGGACATAAGGCTTGAAAACTCACCTCGGGAATAGCATGATGGAGCGGTGTTTCCCTCTTGATAAAAGGATAAATACATGTAGGAAATGATTACGGACAAATTTTCCTGCAGGGTAAAGTATCGTTTGTCAGTGAGGGAAGCGGAAAAACAAAAAAAACTACATCAGGACACATAATCCTTGGAGCGTTCACGCCAAAAATTGGCGATAAGTCGTAAGCTCCTCTGCAAGGCTTTGTCAAGCTAAGATATGTGAGAATAAATTAAATCGCAGACTTGATAACATAGAGTTAAACGGAACACAATCGAGGCTGTGTATCCACTCCTGACAAACAAAACACGCATGAGTGACACAATGATTAAGTAACACATTCTAATGATCTGGCCACAAACATTTGCCCAATGATGGGTAAGCCAAACATAATCATACTCTATGGTACCAAAAACGGCCGTAGAACGCAACACTCAGTTTATCTTTTCGCCCTTTAAACGACCAGACAACAATCGCACGATGTCTTGGTGTTTTTGTTT